CCTCATGAAGGGGGTGTGGGTAGTCATTATTCACTTAAGCCCAAGAAACCACCGTTTAATGAAACGATGCGTTTCGCTCTTCTCAGAATTTCCCTCTCAAACGAAATTGAACATGAGCCGTTGGATCACGCGAGGGTCAAGAGGTCAGCACCTCATCCAATGGCCCAAACTTCGTCACTAACCTCCAGCCTAGGGTTTGCCATGAAAGCTCCAAGAACAGAGTTCAAACCATAAACTTCCACCAACTCGTGCTACCTCAAATCATCATCAAAATTCAAAATGTAAAACACTAAATTGCTCAATTTTCCACACTGATCATGCTCATGGCCTTGGATTACACTGAAATGGTCTCTATCTTAAAACCCGATAGTGAATCCAATATGAGCTCAAACCTCAACTCCAACAAATCTTAGATTTTCTTACATCAAAATGTTCACCTCACTCCACTGGTTAAAACAAGCTATCAAACACTCATTCTTTCTCACCATGCCTCGAGTTCTTGCTCATCAAAGTAATGGAGCCACATATTCAATCTTCATCAAATGACCTCTAACTCTCTAGAATTCATCACCTAGGTGTCTCTAGCCATTCTACACTAACAAATCAACCTATCAATGCTTAAATAATGAGGTGGCAGAGAATTTGCAAACCTGGTTTCTTGGTATGGCAGTGGTGGTAGATCTTCAATTCAGCACTTGAAACTCTTCAGAAATGATCCTTGGATGATGATACTTCTTCTGTTTGCAAAAAATTGGAGGGAGAATGCTTGCACTTCAAGATCCGAATATGAGTGGCTTCTTGCAAAATCCAATGGCCAAACCTTCAATCTTCCATCAATGGAACTTCAATTCAGTATGCACACACTCAGAGGGATTTATGGAATGTGTTTGTGAAAAAGAAAGGAATGGAAATGAAGAATTATGTAGAATTGGAACTTGACTTGCAATGGAAGATTCTTGATTTCACTCTCTCTTCTCTGCACCAATTCTCACCAACCTTGCATCTGAGCAAGTTACATATGTTATATAGAGTGGTTTAGAATCATCTAGAACCATCTAGGATCATCCAATGAGTATTTGAACTTCTCATGTCATGACATTTTGATTTCCATTCTCCTTACATGCTATCTCATGCCAAGCCTCTCATAACCTTTGATTCTGACTTGAATTTCTCCCCACATGAGATTTGTGATGAGTTACAATGCATAACCAACTTGCTTATTGAGTTTTGTTGAGTTTTGCTTTGGTGCCTTAATATGCAAGTAAGCCATTTCCAAAGCAGCCCTATGATCCAAGCCTCAAATCAAAATTGTGGCTGAACCATTATTCTTAGAATGTCATTTGGAGTCAAAATGACCTATTATATGACATGGTTTGGATTTATAACTTGTGATTTCCAATTTTCCATTTCAACTTATTTAACTTATGCCTCCATTTTAGGCCATTTTTATCACTTTTTGATACAAGCCTTTTCAAAATCTCATGACCTCCCTACTAGCCTTAAAACATCATTATAAGCAAGTTTGATGTTGTAGATTTTTCCATTTGAAGCGTGGAAGTAGGAGATATGGCCTTATGCTTGAAATGACCTATAACCTCCAAATGACCAAAATGCCCTTGACTTGTCAAAGCCATAAGTTGAGTTCTACAAATCCTATCAAGGACTTCTAGTACTCTCTAGAAAGCTAAGAAGATTATCTACAACATTAATGTTGACCAAGAGTTCATAGGAATCATCCTACTAGGTCAAAAGTTGGATGCAAGTTGAGTGACTTTCAAGGACCCAGATTCACATACCTCAGATGACCTGTAATTTGTCAAAGTCATAACTTGAGCTATACAAATCCTATCAAGGACTTCTAGTACTCAAATTAAAGCTAAGAACAAGATCTACAACATTAATGTTGTGGGGAAGATGAGATGACAATCACATCTTGAGCTAAACTGCCTTGAAGATAGGGATCAAACTAGGGGATTTTACACTGTCAAGCCTTAGAAACCCTAGCTTAAAACTTCTCAAACTCCTCAATCATGATGAGTTGGTCTAGGAATCATCCTTATAGCATCTCAATGCATCATTCCATTATCACATGGCTCTTGGATTAGGTCTCAACCCTCTCCAAATCATCAGTTGACCTAGGGTTGACCCAGTCAAACCCTAATTCCACCACTCATGGCTGAATCTTCTGAATTCTTGTACAATGACCTCTCTAGGCTTCATGATGGCTTTCAAGACATATCTTAAGCTTTCTCAAAGCTTCAAGTCCATTCTCATAGTCTCAGAATCATCTGAGGAGCTCCCACAACTCTCAAGTTATGAGACACACAACCTTGGTTTCAACCAATTCCTCTGAGGATCTCTTGAGTTCTCTGACAAAGATATCAATCCTTGAACACTTGAACCAACTTCTTGGCTAGCTTCATAGTCTCATACAACTCTTGATGTGTAAATAAATGTTGGTCAAATTTTGGGGTGCAACACACTGCTTCTTTACAACATATGGTTCTTTTGACATTGAGGATTTTCAGGGTAAGGATTTAAAGATCTCCTCTTTTTATTATCCCTAACTTTTGCATGAACTGTGTTTTTTTAACTAAACTATTTATTTACTAAACATTAAAAATATTATAAAAAGAATAAAATCTTTTCTAATATTTTTAACTTTATGATTTTTGGATGTTTTTATGAATAATATGAAGAAAAAAAAGTGGAAAAATAATATTTTTAAAAAAATAATTTAAATAAAATACGAAAATAATAATTAAATAATTAAAAAAAACTATTTTTTTATTTTTTTTATGAAAATAGAAAAGTTAGAATAAAAATAAAAGAAACAAAACAAAAAAATGAAGAAGGTGGGATTCGAACTCTCAACCTCTCACACTCACAACTCCTTACACACGGTCTCTTGCCAATTGTGCCATTTTATTCATTCGAGATAAAGTGGCACTAGAAACTATGTAAAGGTAGGACAAATTTGGAGTGCAACAAATAACAAGATGTTGTTCCTAGTAGACTAATCACTGGGGTAGAATGACAGATGTTCCTAGTGAGGTATAGTGACATGGTCGTATACACTAGGGTAGAATGACTAAGATGTCGTTCCTAGTGGAATAATCACCGGGGTAGAATAACTGAGATGTTGTTCCTGGTGGGGTATAAGCGATGTACCCATAATCCCAAATAGGGATTGGTGAGAATTGATGAGTTTTATATGAATCACATGGCATTAATATCATTGTTATATGAAAGTATGCTTGTGTGTGAATTGTTGAATTGAGAACTTGGATATATGCATGATAAGTATGCTTGGTGTTATATATATATATATATATATATATATATATATATATATATATATATATATATATATATATATATATATATATATATATATATATATATATATATATATATATATATATATATATATATATATATATATATATATATATATATATATATATATATATATATATATATATATATATATATATATATATATATATATATATATATATATATATATATATATATATATATATATATATATATATATATATATATATATATATATATATATATATATATATATATATATATATATATATATATATATATATATATATATATATATATATATATATATATATATATATATATATATATATATATATATATATATATATATATATATATATATATATATATATATATATATATATATATATATATATATATATATATATATATATATATATATATATATATATATATATATATATATATATATATATATATATATATATATATATATATATATATATTTGTGTGTGTGTGTGTGTGTACTTTATGATGATTGTACGAGATTAAATGATATGAAAAAATTATGAATATGTATGCATTTCAAGAAGTGTATGGAGTCATTTTGCATGTGAAGCATCATGATATACATTCTTGTGCTGATTGATTCTGCGTAGAATCTGCTGAATGATTGTGTGCCCGTGTGCGGTGTGAGCAATCAGATCGTGTATCCATGTGGGGTGTGAGCGATCAGATCATGTGCCCGTGTGGGGTGTGAGTGATCGGATTGTGTGCCCGTGTGGGGTGTGAGAAATCTTGAAACATCGTGTGCCCATGTGGGGAGTGAGCGATGGGTGGACATCGTAGGCCCGACGGGGAGTTACTTCGGTAACGAGCGATGGTTCCATTTGGTTCTTCAATTGAACTTGTTGAATGAGTCGGTACCGCGTTTGCATCTGCATAGAGTCGTGAGTCAGTCTCTATGAGTTGCATTTATCATCATTATGATTGTGATTGGTGAATAAACATAATTATAAATGTTTATGTGTAAATGATGTGAATTGTAGAAGCGTGAATGATGAACATGCTTAGTTTTGTGTATATACACTGTGATGTATATGTGAATTTTAATGAATGTGGTGAGAATGTGGAATATATGTATGCTATGATTGTAGATATATATAATTATATGCATTGATTATTATGATAATATTTCTCACCCTTTTGTTGGAATGATGTCCTATCTGGCATCGTGTAGGTATCAAGAGTAGAGCTGCTTGTAGTTGCGAAGTCGCTATTGGTGTAGATGTTTAGTAATTTAATTATGTTGGGTCGAGTCATGCTCTGGTCATGTAACACTGGGATCGTTGGTTTATGTTTTAGAGATACTTTATGTACTCTATGTTATGTTTTTTTGTATTCATTGGAATATTATGATGTTGGCCTTAGTGCCTAAGTAATGTTGAAGTATGTGATGAATCTGAGTATTCTGTTAAGAGAATTATGTCATAAAATGAATCCGCTACTACATGCAAAATGAAATTGTGAGAAGCATGGTTATTTATTATAAGTGTTAATGAGCATGACAAGTGTTTTGATGTTTTGAAAAGTTATGTGTGACGCCTTTTTGTGAATGCATGAAATATTACTCTGATTATTCGTATATTTTGTCGTGGGGTTTAGAAGGGTGTTACACTATGGATAGTAAGAATTTTCAATCACACATAAGGACATACAACATGATGTTTGCTTTCACTTCAGTGGGAGGTAAGTTGGACAACAGGTTTAATAATGATCGTGGTCCACCAACAATAAGAATCCAAGGCCAAGCTTGCCACCGCATTGGAAGTTTACTGCCACCTGAAGGCCATCCACCCAAATTTTCCCAGCTTTACATATATGATAAAGAGAATAAAGTTACAAATAGAATGGACACTCTCAGGTATTCAATCATATTTTCTCTTTAATTTAACCATTTCTTTTTTTCATACAAATTACTAACTTATATATTATATTTTTGTAGAGACAAAAACAACATTCATCCTGATATAATCCAAAACTTGTCAGATATGTTATACCGACATAATACACATGCAAAAAGTTTCTTAATGGCTAGACAATGGCTTAATCAAAGCAATGTTCATAACTTAAAACTCAAATTAATATCCACAAGATCTACTGATGGAAGATTGTATAATCAACCAACTGTTTCAGAAGTAGCTGCTTTAATCGTTGGTGGCATAGACACTGTTGAGGAAAGAGACATTATAATGCAGGCCAAAGGTGGACAACTGCAACATATTGATGAGTTTCATCCAAGTTATTTGGCATTCCATTATCCTTTGATTTTTCCTTATGGAGAAGATGGTTATAGAGATAACATTGCACATAGAGATCTTGATATTTTTGATGACTCTCAAAGGAACCGACTTATTATTCGAGAATAGCTAACATTTAGAATACAAAGTATGTGTAATGAGGCAAAAACTTTGTTATCATCTAGGAGATTGTTCCAACAGTTTTTGGTGGATGGTTACACAATGATTGAAGGAGAGAGATTGAATTGGATCAGAAAAAATCCATCCAAGCTAAGAGTGTCAAAGTATACAAGTCTACATTCAGAGTAAGATCAAACACAAGGATCAAGCATAGGAAAAAGAGTCGTTTTACCATCATCTTATGTTGGAACTCGGAGATTTATGGATCAATTGTATTATGATGGCATGGCTATTTGTAGTAAGGTGGGATTTCCGAATCTTTTCATTACTTTCACATGCAACCCAAATTGGCCGGAAATTCAAAGATTTCTTGGTCCTCTAAATTTGAAGCCACAAGATAGACCTGATATCATTGCAAGAGTTTTTAAGATGAAGTTTGATAACCTTCTAGCAGATGTGACCAAAAAAGGAGTCTTAGGCAAAGTTCTTCCATGTAAATTTACTATGTCATATCAATTGCTTTAACTTACTATCCTTTAACATTAACTAGGCATTTCAAGCTAGACATGACATGTTACAACATATTTATCTCACAATTGTTCTTATTTCTAGATATGTACACAATTGAGTTCCAAAAGAGAGGTCTTCCGCATGCGCACATTCTTATCTTCTTGCATCCATCAAATAAATATCCTACTCCTGAAGACATAGACAAAATCATTTCTGCTGAAGTTCCTGATCCTTTGAGTCAACCAAAACTGTATAATCTGGTCAACACTCACATGGTGCATGGTCCTTGTGGGTTAGCAAATCCTAGATGTCCTTGTATGAAAAATGGTAAGTGTTCCAAGTATTATCCTAAAAAGTTCCAAGATGTCACAATTGTTGATCAAGATGGATATTCTGTTTATAGAAGGAGAGATCAGGGTAATACAATTGAAAAGAATGAAGTCACCCTACATAGTGGTCACGTTGTACCCCATAACCCAAGTTTGCTGATGAAATATGAGGGACACATTAATATGGAGTGGTGAAATCAAAGTACTTCAATTAAATATCTCTTCAAGTACATCAACAAGGGTTCTGATAGGATCTCGGCTATTATCGTTCCAAACAACACTGGAACTGATGGAAATATTGATGAAATCAAACAATACCTTAATTGTCGATATGTCTCACCAAGCGAAGCATGTTAAAGAATCTTCTCTTATTCAATTCATGGCAGAAAACCAGTTGTTGAAAGGTTATTTTTTCACATGGAAGGAGAGAATTATGTATACTACAAAGATTTTGAACAAATTGGAACTCTCCTTCTTAAACCAAGTGTCACCGAATCAATGTTTACTTCTTGGTTTGTGGCAAATACTCAGTATGAAGAAGCAAAATTATTAACATATGGTCAATTTGTGTCCAAATTTGTTTATGACAAGAAGAAAAGGTGTTGGAAACCGCGTAAAAGAGGTTACACAATTGGCCGACTAATTTGGGTCCCGCCAACAACTGCAGAATTGTATTATATGAGGATGTTGTTGACTATGAAGAAAGGTCCGACAAGTTATGATGATTTAAAGAAAATTGATGGGTTCAAACACAAAAGTTTTAGAGAGGCATGTTTTGCATTGGGCTTTCTACAAGATGACAAAGAGTTCATTGACGCAATTAAAGAGGCTTATAACTGGGGTTCTGAAGTATTTTTGTGCAAACTGTTTGTTACAATGTTATTATCATCTACAATTAATCGACCAGAACATGTTTGGTTAAATACTTGGATGTACCTATCAGATGGTATTCTATATAAACAAAGAATATTGTCACAAAATCCAGGTTTGATTATTATATATTTGCTGCTTCTTTGTAACATCTTTTCTTTTATCCTCTTCATCTTATTGTTTAGAACTATGTTTGGCACAACACTATGGATTCTATACATGTTCATTTTAACAAAGTATCAATACTTACTTAACTTTTACCATTATTTGTAGAATTGAATTTTTCTGATGAAGATATGCAACAACTCACTTTGATGAAAATTGAGAAGCAACTACAGAAAAATAGAAGGAGTTTGAAAGAATTTAAGCATATGCCATATCCAAATAATTACGTCCTTGACTTCCTTGGAAATAGATTGATATATGATGAAAGACAATATGATCCCTCGGTTCAAGAAGAAATTTTACATACTATGTTTCAATCATTAACAGGTATTGTTTTTATAATTTCACCTTCAAATTATTTATTGAAACAATATCCAAAATTTAGTGCATACGCTATGTTTCTTCATAATATTATGCTTTTCTTTTATTGCTTGGGATTACATTGATATGGTCATTGTTGTCTGTAATTATTAGCACAAAACTACATAAGTATAAATGCTAAATGCATTGATATGGTCATTGTTGTCATTATTGTCACAAGAATTGAAAATTTTCACAGATTTGCTTATTTAAATTGTTCTCATGATGCAACTTTATTGTGTTTTGTTTTTAATTGTAGACAAGCAGTTTAACATCTTTAAAGAAGTTATGGATGTTGTCACAAATCAAAATGGTGGTGTTTTTTTCCTATATGGTTATGGTGGTACATGAAAGACTTTCATGTGGAACACATTGTTTGCTGCTCTGCGTTGTAAAGGAGATATTTTGTTGAATGTAGCATCTAGCGAAATAGAAAGTTTGTTGTTACCAGGAGGAAGAACTGCACATTCCAAATTCAAGATTCCAGTTCCATGTTTGGAATCTTCTATATGTAACATAGAGAAAAATTCGGATCTTGCCGATCTCTTGAAGGTAACAAAATTGATAATATGGGACGAGGCACCAATGGCAAATAAATTTTGTTTTGAAGCTCTTGATAAGTCATTGAAGGATATTATGAGTGATGACGATGTTGAGTGTCAGCAGATTTTTGGAGGAAAAGTTATAATTTTTGGTGGAGATTTCAGACAAATTCTACCAGTTGTTCCAAGAGGTACTAGATCAGATATAGTGCAGACAACAATAAATGCCTCTTACATTTAGGATCATTGCAAAGTTATGAATCTAACCAAAAATATGTGTTTGCAAAGTGGTTCTAATTTAGGCAATTTAGAAGAAATTAGACTCTTCTCAGATTGGATTTTACAAGTTGGTAATGGAAAGGTCTCAGAACCTAATGATGGATATGCTGAAATTGATATTCCTGAAGAGTTACTTATAAGAGATTTTGTGGACCCAATTGAAGCAATTGTTTCAAGTACCTATCCAAATCTGCTTTAAAATTACACGGATCCAAATTTTCTTCAGTGTAGAGTTATTCTAGCATCAACTATTAAAATAGTTGATGACATAAATGACTTCATAAGTAATCTTCTTCCAGGTATACTTCATTTTCTGTTATAACTATATTTTCTGATTTTTTTCATACAATGTGTCTTTGGATGTACATATGTATATATTATTTTGATATGTACATACTAATATATTATTTTTTCATACTATTTTTTATACATACCTGTTATTCTGTTATATATATATATATATATATATATATATATATATATATATATATATATATATATATATATATATATATATATATATATATATATATATATATATATATATATACACACACACACACACACACACACATATTAATACTTAATTTAAATTTCATGTAGGTGAATCTAAAGAATATTTGAGTTGTGATTTCATTGATAGATCAGAAGCTAATGACAATTATGCTTTCGAGCATTTGACACCGGAATTTTTTAGTTGTCTGAAAACTTCCGATTTGCCTAACCACTCATTGAAATTGAAGGCTGTTACAATCATCATGTTGATAAGAAATTTGAATCAATCTGAAGGCCTTTGTAATGGTACAAGGTTAACAGTTACGAAGTTAGGCAATCATGTCATTGAAGCAAAGACCATTTTAGGTACAAATATTGGAAACATTATTTATATCCCGAGAATGTCTTTGTCTCCTTCCCAATCTCCATGGCCATTTAAACTTATCAGAAGACAACTCCCAATTATAGTGTCATTTACTATGACAATCAACAAATCTCAAGGACACTCGTTGGACTATGTTGGATTATATTTGCCAAAGAATGTTTTCAGTCATGGACAACTTTATGTTGTCATTTCTAGGGTTAAGAGCAAAGTTGGATTGAAAGTTTTAATACACGACAAATACAACAACTACTTAACTCAAACAACAAATGTTGTCTTCAAAGAAGTTTCCACAATGTCATATAGGTACATAGTTAGTTTTTGAATAACATTTTTTTTTCTTACTATCAATACTAAAATCTTCATCTCTATATTTAGCTTTTAAGTAAAATAATTTGATACTCAAATTTATATTTCACTTCATGCTTATATAATTCATTCTTTCGACGTCTCATGTTTTCTTAGATAGTTCTAATATTTCATTAATTATTGATTTTATTTTATATTTGTAGGTTTTGTAATCTTCGCTCTTGCTTCATACAAATCTTACTACATCATTTCAATCTACAATGTTATTTACACTTTGTTATTAAATTTCTTTTGTTGGACATATTATGCTTCAGATATTAAAAATTATTGTATTTTTATGACATTGAATATATCTACTATTATGAAGATAAAAATAAATCAAATAAACACATAAATTAAGTACCAATTATTGACTTTTTTATAATAATTGTCACAATAACAGAAAAAGAATTTGTTTTAAAAACAAAAACCTTTTAGTTAATATATTTAAATTATTATTCTAATTGTATTTATTCTAATAAAAATATACCAATAAAAATTAAGTACCAATTATTCACTTTCTTATAATAATTGTCACATTAACAGAAAAAATTGTTCTAAAAAAATACATTTAATTTGTTGTAATCTATTTAAATTATTAATCTAATTATATTTATCGTATAAAAATATACTGATAATTAATGAAAAATAAATTAGTAAAACCATCTTTCTTTCATTTATATTTTTTTAGCATATGTTAAATGGAAATATAAAAATGGACTCACTCATTACAAATGTGTATAAAATGTGTCATCTCACCTTCCATCTTAATTTATCATAGGTTTCTCTCTTTATGGATGGTGAAAATAAATGTTCTTATGAGTCAAATGAGATAAATATTATAGAACAGAAAAGAGAAAAAGAAAGTTGATCAACAATAAAATTCACATTCACATTCATTATAAGTTACCAAATTGTTCGTGAGTAGCATAACCAATCTATGCACTCTTCTCTACACAAAACTGCTTATGGCTCCATAATAATAAGCCACAAATGTAAACCAAATTACACTATTGTACAACATTGCAATAAATATTACCCTTGCATACTACCACTGACTCAAAAAAGTACATGGAAGATGGTAAAAACTTCAGCAACTTCTGCAAGTCATCTTCAGCAAAACATGTATTTCTCCCTAATAGTGCCTCCCAGCACCATGACTTCTCCCCCAACCCACTCCACCCCCATAGTCTCCTACATCCCTTCCACCGCCATGATAGCCATCTCTGCCACCACTTATACCCTGATTATGGCGTATATGCTTTGGCTTTGCTTTTTCAACTGACAACCAAAAATTGCCAATCGCAGTTTGATCAAGTTGTAGTGCTTTCTTATAGCCATAAATATCCTTGAAGTCCAAATGAGCAAACCTGCAAATTTTGCAATCTGAGATTGGAATGCAATATACACTAACTATATTTTTAGAGATTTCATGCAGGCCACTTATCAATAGCCATTGAAAAAGAAAATGGAGTTGGGATATCCAAAATACGCAAGAGTGAATCACAACTTCCAGTAGAACAATAGCCATACCCCTTAATAGTACCAGAATCGTGAAATCTCGGTAATGAGATTCTTGTAATCTCTCCACAAGAGCTGAAATGATTCTTCAGGGTAGCTTTTATCTGAAAGACCAAAGCAGATAAAATTACAGACCAATACAATGCTAGAGACTAAGGCAGTATATTGCAGTAACATATGCAACCAAATAATGAGAAGAAAATTACTACCTTTTCTTCGGCAGGGGAAGTATCAAAGCCGATCACAAATACAGTTAGAGGCTGAAAAGTTTCGCACTTCGAGAATGGGATGCTCACGCTGCTTAAATTATCATCAAGGATCCAGGAAAGATATATAGATATAAGACGAGATATTCAAATGAATCAACGGAAGAGATTAACTACTTGTTTGCTTGTGCCAGAAAAAAAATGTTTTTTTAATTGAAAACATGAAAAGTTTGTCAATAAAATAAAACACCAAAAGTTATTCAGTAAAAATAGAGTGGTGCTATAGCACTATTGCACGGCGGAATTTTAACAATCCTCTATCTGCAGTCTATAACATTGTTCTTAAGATTGACTAATATTATATTTCTTGTATAAAAGAGAGATAGAACACAATGTATATACATGAGGCTTAACCTACTCAGTCGCTATAAGCGAATAGAATCAATTAAAAAGGGATAGTATCAAAACAAATAGTACTATATCCCAATACTCCTCCTCAAGGTAGAGAATATACATCATATACATCCAACTTGTCACATATGTAAGTTGACTGTCAGAATTGACTCGTTATAAGGACCTCGGAGAGAATCCTCTCTAATGAATCAACCATCAACTTCAATATGCATTGTCCTTTCGCGAAAAATTGGATAAAAGGAGAGGTGCAAGGCTGACTAGTGTTAACATAGAGTTCCATAGGACCAACCACACAAAATTGTATTTCTGGCAATAAATGTTTAGACTACAAATGTCGGCATGTGGCATTAGCTAGCCCAATACTCAGCTTCTATACTAGACCAGCAATATCAGTTTATTTTTTGCTTGTAATCAGATTTCCACCCATGATTATGCAGCAACCAGAAGTAGACCTCCTAGCACTCGTATCTTTTGCCCAATTGGCATCTGTATACTTAACATGCAAGTGTGACCCCTATTACTAAAAACAAGCCCCTTACAAAGTGTCCTTTTCATATACTTAAGAAATCGAACAATTGCATTCCGATGACTATAACAAGAGTTAAGGAACTGACTTACTTCACTGACTAGAAAAGATATGTTTGGTCTGGTCATGATAAGATAATTTAATTTTCATATTAGCCATCAGTATCTACCTGGATTAAGATAGAGCTCCCCTTGATCAGGAATGAGCTTAACATTAGGAATCATTGGATGTCGACTTGTTTACATTCTATATGACATGTCTCCTCTTAAATATTAAGAGCATACAGCCTCTGAGAAATAACAGCACCCGACTTCATTTGCGCTACCTCAGCCCCAAGAAAGTAACATAGAGGACCCAAGTTCTTAGCCTAGAAACTTTTGACAAGTTTGTTTCAATGCCTCTATACCCTTTTAATCATCAATTATAATCACAATGACATCAACACAAACTACTAGGAATATTTACTAGATGATGAGTATTTGAGAAAAAAGAAGTGATCAGGTTCACAAGAGTTACTAAATTCTGCTGACATACTTGAGGTGATTGTTTCATACCATAAAGACTTATGCAATTTGCATATCCGACTATGTCCCCTGAGTAACAAACAAATCTATGAGGTCGCTCCACCTAAATCCCGCTCTCCAAGTCACCATGCAAGAAGGCATCTTTGATATCCAACTGATATAAGGGTTAATGTTTCATAGCAACCATCGTTATAAAACCGACTTACTAAGTGGGAGGTTACACTCTTTATAATCTCATTTCAGTCTGTATCTCTTTTCAATGTGGGACATGTGTTTTTTCTTAAACACCTCCGCTTACTTAGCACAATCAGGTTGTGATACCATCTTAAGATTGAATAATAGTGTTTTTCTTGTATAAAAGAGAGGAGACGCGCACATATATGTAGCTTAACCTACTCAATCCCTAAGATTTGGGATTAGACAATACTACAATATTGAAACAATTATAAAAGCTTTTTTTTCAAAACTTGTCCAAATGCATCATGATTCGTAACAAAAACTGTACAACAACTACCTTCTATTGGGGAAACATTCACCCTCTGCTGGAGCCATACCAACTTTGATGGGATGGTTCGTCAATCTTGTGTAATCCAACTCAAGAGCCTGTGATAAGAAAAAGCAAATCGGTTATTAGCTTAATTTGACTTTGTATGACAAAATGAATTCAACGTGATAAGCACAATGTGCATGCAAGAGTATAAAAAACTAGAACCCTAAACACACCAAATGTCAACCCTCCATCACATAAAAATTAATCACTATGGGTTGAATGGTGATATGCAATATGCATGCAAGAGTATAAAACTATATCAGAGAACCCTAAACATACCAAATGTCAACCCTCCATCACATAAAAAGTAATCACTATGAAAAATTGTAGGGTTGAAAGATGCATGTGGCGATAGGCACCAAGTGAAGAAAGGTTTTGTTGTTATTGTATTATGCAAATATAAAGAGGTCAAATTTAGGATACATGACCACACTACACTTTAGGGTAAGAAGTCATATACAATTGGCATATAAGAACTAATTAACACAACTTGTCATAGCATGACTTAAAACATTAAGCATGAACTCATATATTCTCTCTGGTCTCAAATATAAGCAACAAAAAAAATTTCAATGGTCTTAAACATAGGCAAAAGTCAGCTATAACTATTACATTCAATATCACTATTTCAAATATGCCCTTACCTTTTTTTTACATTTCTATGTTTGCAACGATTTCCAAAGCAAAAAAATAGAAGTCAAATTAAAAAGAGTAAGAATTAAATGCATTCAGCCATTTTTCTTAAAGGGTGAGCTTTTTTGTAAATTCTCCTATACATGAGATTGGATGGAATATATGTTAATACTTATCATTCGACGTACAACCAAATAATAGATTCACAAATCACATGTTAAACTCAGAATTGAGGATAGAAAACTATTTCTTCTTGTGTTGTACTATTTTTCTTTTTATAATGTTAATACTATCTGTAATTTCTATATTCAGGTAGACTATTAAATCAATACATAATTACAAAATAATGTACAATAAAATAAAATATGCAGGTTTAAATGGCAATCAAATGTGTGCAAATCTGGTGGTTTAAATGCCAATAAATATGCACTGATAAATAATATTTTGTCATTCAATTCTATTGGCATCCCCCCTCAAATTGATGATGGTAAGTCTACAAGCACCAATTTGATAGCGCTGACGTGTCATGGATTTTGTAAGTATGTGAGCAAGTTGAATAAATGTAGAGACATTAGACAAAGCTATCATTTTGCAGTATAAGCTTCTCTTATTGAATGACAATCAACTTCTATGGACTTCGTTCTTTCGTTGTATACAGGATTTGTTGTAATTTGTATGGCACTCGTGTTATCAGCATGCGACAGAGTTGGTTGTGTTAGTGAATAACAAATCCTAAAAAAAAGACCACATAACCAAATAATCTCAAAGCATGCTACAAACATAGACCGATAATCTGTTTCAGTAGAAGATTTTGACAATGATTCTTGTTTCTTGCATTTCCAAGAGATAGGGCATCTCCTAAAAACATACACCAACCAATAGTAGACTTCCTTTTGTCAGGGCATCTCCTAAAATTATTATGCTTGAAGTTGTATTGCTGCACTGGTATGAAAGAAAATACCTCACCTGAAAGTGGCTAGTAGATATCTTATAATCCATTGTACTGCAGAAAGATGCAAGTGTCTAGAATTTTGTGTGAATTTACAAACTGTGTGGGCGGCAGATGATATATCAGATCTTGTGATAGTTAGGTAGATAAGACTTCCAACCAACTTTCGATTAAAAATTGGGTCTTGTATGAGTTCCCCATCATCCCTCTGTAGCTTTACATTAACCCCCATTGGAGTGTCAAGTGGAATTGCATCTCTGAGACTGGCTAGTTGAATAAGATTTTGAGTACACTTGTGTTGAGTAACAAAGATGCCTTTAGTTGGAATTGTACTTCTAATCCTAAGAAATAACTAGGTTGTCCAAGATCTTTCATGTGAAAAGTTGTATGTAAGAATTGTTTGATTGTAATGACACCCTCTTGATTTGAGCAGTAATGACATTGTCGTCCACATAAACAAACGTCATAATTCCTTTTGATTTATGTAGAAAGAGAGATGGATCATAGCTGCTTTGGAGAAAAGAAAACTCAAGTAGTGTTCTAAACTTTTCAAACCACACTCTTGGTGTTTGGTTTAATCTATAAAAAAACGCTTAAATTTTCAAGCAGCATTAGGTAACGAGAGCGTACCAGTAGGATGTTTGATGTGAACTTCTTTGAGGTCACCATGAAGGAAGCAATTTTTAACCATATAGGTGGTGCATTTGCCATGATTCAGATGTAAGAATAGCAATAATAATTCTCCGTAGTCATTTTGTCCACGTGTGCAAATATCTCCTCATAGTCTAAACAAAATTCTTACTTATTACCAAGAGCAACCAATCTAACCTTGTAGCGATCTATTGATTTATACAGAGCTTTTTATTGAACACAAATTTACTACCGAGAGACATAATAAACGAAGGACGTTGCACAATGTTCCATGTTTGATTTTCCTCGAGGGCCAAAAGTTCAACTTCAATAGCATTCTGCCAACATTTAAACTCCATAGCATGTCCGTATGAAGAAGGAATAGGAATAGGAATAGATGCTAAAGATGTTGTCAAAGATAAAAGATCAGAAAAATCATACTTTTCTGGTAGTTTATGAATGCGAGTACTCCGGCGTAGGGAGGTTAGTTGTGGCTGAAATGTCAGATCAACAACCAAAAAATGATCGGGAGGGGGCAATGTACAACTGGAATGAGAGACTGAGAGAACAAGAGACTTGGAAACACATGGAACAAGGGATCAACCTAAAGTGATACCATATTAAACTCAGAACTAAGGATGGAAAATTGTGTCGTCTTCTACTGTACTATTTTCCTTTATAGTGTTAATACAATATGTAATTTCTATATACTCTAGACTATTTAATCAATACATAATTACAGAATAATGTTGAATCTACTGGTTTAAATGACAATCAAATATGTGCAAATTTGTTGTGGCTTAAATGCTATTCTCTCTGTACCACAATGAGTGACCCAGTTGACCACTTTACACCGATTAAAAAAAAATGAATAAAAGAAAGAGTAATATTTTTACTAAAATACCCCTATCATGTTATGATACCATACCTTTAGCTACATTAATTATAATAGTAAAGCCTCAACCACAACTAAATTTGAATATGTACCTTTCTAAAGAAAAAACTAGGAATGAGAAAGACATTACAAATCAACATATTCAAATTTAAACACAAACTATATGAGAAAAATATAACTTTGAAATTATATGTTTTTGTTTTGAATAATAAAAGAAAAATGGCAAACAAGGAGCGTGCAAAAAGCAGTGTTGCAAGGTGATAGAAAGGTGAATCAAGTGGTGGGCCTTGACAGTGGGCCCAAACCAAAGGTTTGGAGGGTTTACCGGAGAAAGAAAGGGAAAGGAATAAGGGATAATGACTTGGCTGCATGATTTGCATGAGAGGTACTATATTAGTGGGTGGAGTCAGAGAGAATAGGGCGGCTGAGAATTCTGTTATTGTGTGGGGTCACTTTCACAGTGATTTGGGAGCACTGTGTGCTACAGGGGCTGACAGTGACTGTCACTATCAGTTTGTTATTTTGTTATTTTGTCATTATTCATTCTCTTACTTTTATAATTGATTTGTCATTAATTCCACTGCAGTTTTCTTCCATCTCTTTATTCTTTTCTCCACTGTTTGTTCATATTTTTCACACATCAACCCATCAATTGGTTCGATCTACCGGATCAAAAAAATCATCGTACCGAAATTGTAGATGCCACGAAAGCCTAAGATGGGAGATCGTATGGACGCGTTGGAAACACAGATGGTTGACGTCAAAGCTACACTACAAACTTTAGCTCAACAGATGCAACAACAAAGCTTGGTTCTCTCTGATTTATGCAATCAGATCAGTCAGAAGAATATGAATCAGAAGAGTGGGGGTTCCATGGGTGAGTCTTCGCATGAGGAATCACGTTTGTCAGGGAAGAAGGTGAAACTGCCACTATTCGAAGGAGACGATCTTGTTGCGTGGATCACACGAGCTGAAATCTATTTTGTGTGCAGAATACGACCGATGAGATGCGAGTGAAGTTGACACGTCTGAGTATGGAAGGGTCTACCATACACTGGTTTAACCTTTTGATGGAAACAGAGGACGATCTGTCCTGGGAAAAGCTGAAAAAGGGACTGATTGCACGCTATGGAGGAAGACGTCTGGAGAATCTTTTTGAGGAATTATCCACGTTGAAACAGAGTGGTACTGTAGAAGAATTTGTGGAAGCTTTTGAGCTTTTGTCGTCACAAGTGAGACGACTTCCAGAGGAACAGTATCTGGGTTATTTTATGAGTGGTTTGAAGCCACAAATTCGTCGTAGGGTTTGGACTCTCAATCCCCTGAATCGGATGCAGATGATGCGAATCGCAAAAGACGTAGAGGAAGAGTTGAGAGAAGATGATGATGACGTAGGCAGATACGGTAGCAAAAAAGGAGGGCAAGATCGATTGGGCCGTAATGATTGGGTCGGGTCAGTTTTTCGAAGCAGGAGTGGGTCAAACACGAAAGAGACAAATTGTTTCAGTTGGGTCAACCCGACTCAGAAAACAGGATCCAGTGGATCTAACACGCTCTCTACGACGTCGTTAGCTTCGACTGGGAAAAAGGGTGAAAATGACTCGCGATCTGAAAAATCTTAAGGGATTCGCAGCATTCACAACGACGAGATGGCTGAGAGAAGGGCGAAGGGTTTGTGCTTCAAGTGTGGAAGCAAATTGTTTCAGTTGGGTCAACCTGACTCAGAAAACAGGATCCAATGGATCTAACACGCTCTCTACGACGTCGTTAGCTTCAACTGGGAAAAAGGGTGAAAATGACTCACGATCTGAAAAATGTTAAGGGATTCGCAGCATTCACAACGACGAGATGACTGAGAGAAGGGCGAAGGGTTTGTGCTTCAAGTGTGGAGGTAAGTATCACCCTACTCTCCATAAGTGTCCGGAGAGATCCTTACGAGTGTTGGT